AAGGCGGGGATAGAGGCCTGACCTCCAGTATTTGAAGGGGACCTTGTGATGGCTCCAGTCCCCCTGTCGTTGTCTAGTGAGGCTTAAAAGGTATTTCTAATTGTTGAACTTTTCATTCACCTGGAAGGCCAATTACTTTCATTGGCTGTCCGCTTTTGGTTTTTCATTTACTAGTACCTTTTTGGTATGCTGATGAGATCTATTATTTTGTGGAACGAGTTGTACTTGACTAGCAAACATTTTATATACAGATTTTTTTTTAAAACAGCACATATATATGTGTGCATGCGTGTGTATGGAGGGATAGATAGATAGATAGATAGATAGATAGATAGATAGATACACACACATACATAAATACATATACTCTGAGGATAATCATCTAGAAAACATCCCTACAGACTGACTAGCTACTTTGATGTGTTAGTGTCCATGCTGGGTTGTCGAACATTTCACTGTTACCCCTGTATATAACCACACAGAGAGCACTTTTATTTTGACATCTCTATGAAACTATACCAAGAAACCTTATTTGATCACAATACTTGAGGTAAGCCAGCTGCAGTACTGCAAGACTTTAATCCTAGCACTGGGGAGGTGGAGATTCAGGACCAGGAGGTCACATTCATCCTCAGCTACACAGTGAGTTCAAGGTCAATGTGAGCTATATGAGACCCTGACTCAAAACATTAAAAACTCGATTTTAAATATTTTAGAAAAGAAAAGCAGTAGCTATTCCCTTGCCCACATAATACACAGGCCCACAGTACTAACCCATGCTTTCGCCACATTAACACAGTGCCTCTGTTACCTCCTTACTCTTTGATATTTAGAACATGCTCATCACAATTCAGAACACTGCTGAGCACAGAGTGATTAGTAAGTACATATCTATGAATGAATACTGAACCATGTGTATTTTCCATTTTTTTATTTATTCAGATGTATAATTATCTTTAAAACTACCCAATGGGTCTTTATAAATTAAGGACTGTGGACACAGATTTAGGGGAAAGGTCTGGTTTCACAAAATGCTAAACTATAAAACCTAAATAAAGCAAACCCTGTGTAATAAGCTAGTGTAACAAGAAAATCTCAGATGACACCATTGGGAGGGTGGCTGCCTCCCCAACGCAGACAGCAAAGCTGGCTCAAGTCATCTGCATCTACCACACAAAGTGTGCCGACACACTTAAGCCTTCCTATGTGCGCAGGAGCGCCATGTTCCTTGCACTTGATCCAGCATGTGGCTGCCACAGACTCTCTTCTGCAGACAAGGTAGAACTTTTAGGCATAGAGAAAGAAATGTATTACATCTTCTCAAAAGAAGCCTATAATATTTGGGCAATCCATACTAAAGTTTGGTAAACAGCCACAGTCACTTGATTCAGCCAGGAGGCAAGTGTTTGCTAAAGTCACAGCTCTCTGCCTGGTTGACCTGCATTTAATCATGAACACAGTGAGCTCTGCATTCCATTCAGAGAATTTCTTCCCTAAAAGCTATGTCAGAAGAAATATTAGCTTTACCCAATAAAGTAAGTTCTGAAGTGCCATTTAAATGTTAGATTAGGTGAATTATACTTATATTTTCTCAAACTTGACACTGTATCTCAAATTTCAGTTGTCTAATATTAGATTCATTATTTTCCTTTTATACAAATTTATAGGTTTGAATATTTAGACGACTCTTTCCAATTCAGCATTTTATCAAGGTAGAAGACGTCCTTTCCTCATATTCACGTTCACACTTCTTACAATGCACAGTTCTTGTAGCTTCTACTAAAGTTTGTGCTCTGTGACACATGGTTAACAACATGGACTGTGTCCCAGCACTGTCCCTATCTGTTATGCAATCCTCAGAAGGTCTTTTACTATTTAAAGCAATAGTTCCTCTTCCATCATCCTGTATGACGTTACAAGGAACAATAATATTGTATAGAGATACTAACAAAACATATTCCATAGCAGTACAGGAGGGGTACATAAGATAAAGCATATGCAGAGGTCAGCCAAGGATTAAAGGTAGGCCTCAATGCTGGAGTACCTGCTAGGTATCCAGGAGGCTCTGGACCCAATCCCCAGCACTGGGAAGAAAGAGGATGAGGATGGGGGGAGAGGATTGCCCAAAAGACCTAGGACTTCATTGATAACGTCAATCTTTTAACATCTGCTGACTGTTTATTCTTGTTCAACACTCTTGTAGGTACTAGGGAGACAGAGATACTAAGTCAAATACAACTTTGATGTTATAGAACTTGCACTGTACTTGAGGGATAGTAACAATTAAAATACATGATATCATATAAAGGTGAATATACATAACCATTAGAAATTGACCATCAAGAAGTAAGAAAAGGAATGAAGGAGAATATACTATTTACACATAACAGAGAAGGGCTCTCACTAAAGGAACTCTCAAGAAGCAACGAAATTAAGAAAGAACAGGCCACAGAACCATTAGGTTTGCTGCTTTACGAGAACAATTACAGGTGTTCAGTTAGTACCACTTACAACAATACTACCCCTCTCCTAAGCCTCTGTACAGGCTCAGGGAGGCAGTACAGGAAGAAACTGGACAGCAGGTGAGGAGCAGATTGGAAGGCACCCGTGCACTAATAGCATTATTAAGCAGGAAAAAATAAACAATCCCCCCACTCTAGCTGTCTAGTTTCCCTGCATTTGTGACTAAATACAAGGAATAAACATAAGAAAATGACTTAGTCATTTAGGCAGTACAGTAATAAAATTATATTTTGATGAATAGGGAAAAAAATAAATGGGAAACAGAAATTGCATCTAAAGGAAAGCAACATTCTTTATGTAGACTATAAAATCTGTAAAAATGAAAATTAGATATTTTATAGCATATTATATAGTCAAATATTGTTGGGAGCTGACTCTTAGCAGAAAATGGCTATCATCTTTGCAGCCATCTCAGGCCATATACCCTGACAAGAAACTTGTTTTTCAACAGCCTACAACAGCTGAGCACACTCTGATCAACATCTTGTTTTTCTCACATATCCTGCTATGCTGTTTAGTGCTCCCAGCTGCAAGGTGCTCGTGATATCCACGGCTGCAATGCATGTAGCATAGTGCCTTCAGCTGTGTTCCCTTGCTTGTCCACGGCAGCAAGGCACGTGGAAAAAGCATATAAATACCCAAGATTTCCTTTCAATAAACGAGACTTGATCAGACTCTCTGTCTTGTCTCTATTCTTCGTGTCTCCTGCCCTTCCATCCCCACTCTCTCTCTTGCTAGACCCTGACCCACGGACTGGAACAGTAGCTCAGGCCGAGACAAAATATATTAACTTCTTACACGATTTAAATAAAAAAATAGATTCAGTAATAAGAGGACAAATGACTTTTCAAAGGAGGATATATGGTGATACCACCACAACAAAAGCCTGTATCAATTTGTTCCCACTCATAACTGAAAGTTGCCCTCAATGACCCTTGTATTTCTATTATTTTTACAAAGGACTAATAGAATTCTTTGAACAATGTTTACAATAAACAGATACGTGCATATTTCAATGCCAGGTTTAAGTCAGGTTAGTATGCAGATCAGCTTTGCTTTTACCCACAACACAATCTTCTATAGCTCTTTAACCTCCTACAGCTGCCACCATTCACTTATTTGCATATCTAGTACTATAAAATGATGGAGTAATCAGCTCTGTTTTATTAGAGATCTGACAGAAAGATAGTAATTGACCATGTTACAGTCTAGAGAATCTAATCCATTACCTAAGTTCACTTCATAGAAATTTGTATTCAGTGGGAGAGGTAATTTTATTTGAAATTATATATCCCTACTCAGACCCAGATCTTAAGTTACTTTCCATCAAGGATTTGATTTCTAACGTGAACCTGACTAACCTATAGATTGTGCAAATATCTGGTTAGCTTGTAAAGCCAAGCAGAAAAATATGTAAAACAGTTTATTAACCTCATGGGTAAAATTGTATGCTACTGGCTTGAGGTTGATACGATACACTAGAACTGAAGTTCATACTCAAGTATATAATTAAGAAAACAAAACTCTTGTCATTTAATTGAAGAAACTAGGTGCAGATGGAAACATTAAAGGTAAGCTTGGGTTTGTGGATTCTGAGAATCTGGGTATAAAACAATAACAACAAAAGAACAAATTGTCAAGTTATACGTTCTAAAATGAGTATGAAGTAAAAATTAGGGAGTGTCTACATTATAGGAAGGATAACAGGATTGGTCTATAAAAATCAACTAGATAAATGTCACCAACCGATTTTAATGTCTTTCCCATTTTTACATCATTCTTCATGTTGCACAGACCTCAAAGGAAAGGACCCTTGCCATTCCCAACTCAATTCCCTCAACCCTCAAAGTGGTGAAAGGCCCGAGTTCACTGTTGCACTGTGGTCTATGTCCCTAAGGTGCTGTCTGAAACACATACACTCCCCATGCCAATTCCTAACCTCACAAATCTCTTAGTACCTGAGAGAATTGTTTGTGATAGATCTTACAGGTAAAAATGATGTAAAGTGAGCTCTGACCCAGCTGCCTGGCTCCTCAGAGGGAAGCTATGATTTTCTGAGAAGAGACCAGTCCAAAACTTTCAACACACTGTAAACCTAAAGCTTAAAACTAAAATTCTGACATACTCCTAAATGCCAGACCTCTTCTTTGATGTCTACATCTTCAAATCTTTTGCCAGAACCATTCAAAGTATGATCCTCACATCTTTCAAGATAAATTGGGACAGGAAAAAAAAACAAAAAAACCCAAAAAAAAAAAAACAAATTAGGCCATTTGTATCCTAGCAAATGCTGAGCAGAAAGGCAATGTGTCTTCAGAAAATTAAAGGAAGTCTATATCTCAGCTAGATTGCCAGGAGTTATTGGTGTTCACAGAAGTAATTTGTCTCTGACATTGGCACATACCCTAAAAGCTTTCTTCTGTGACAAATGCTAACAAAGTATTCTTGTTAAAAAAGAAGCAAGATTTCAGCCCTACCTTTGGAATAGGATTCAGCAGAACCACCCCAGACTTCTTGGTGATAACTTGTTTGGTATTGAAGTGGTGATCTATAAGTTGAGGGATATTTGAAAACCCAGTGCCCTCGAATCGATATAGATTCTGGGGAGAGAACAACAACATACAATTATCAGGCAGACATTGTTTCAGAAGAAAATGATCTTAATCCAGGAGTTAAATTCTGTTTAAGGAGAGCTGAGTGCACAGCAGCATAAATATTTCTAACAATACTCAACTACATACTTACAGATAGTAATATATTAAAATAGATAGAAACATGAAACTCTATAACCTACTGCCAAATATTCTGACAAAAATAAATTTTTAGACTAAACATAATTCACAGCATTATTACAGTAAGAGAAAAAGCTAATGGAACTCAATTGCCTTTTACAAAAATGATGACCAAAGCAAACAAGACTGGTGCCCACTCAAGTTTAAGCAGAAAGAAGGCATTTGCATGCGTTTCCATGTATGCTCCATTCAATAAACTTTTAGTACTAAAAATACCATGAAAGGTTGAGGAAGCCTAATAAAATAATAATAATCATTTCTTCTTTGCTAATACAATGGGGTTTTCTACAGTAGGATCTCAATGTACCATTGATATATAAAAAGTAAAGATGCAAACATCATTCACAAAGACAAAGAAGTAACGAAGAGCGATAAGCCTTTGAGATCAGCAACTTTTAGATACATCTTGTTATTCAGTTTGTTGTGTGCGTGCGTGTACATGGAGGACAGCGCTGGGTAGATTGACAGGCAGTTGGGAGCCTAACAGAACTTCATCCTCTGCATAAGCAGCAGGTGCTCCTAAGGGCTGAGCAGGCTCTCCAGGCTCAGATCTAAGCATGCTTCACATTTCCAATCAGTAGGAAGCAGCGTTTTTTCACACTCTGTTGTCTTTGCTAGTTTTCATATTTAAATAGACAGCAGTGGGTTATTGTGTGTAAGAACTGACAGCAGGAAATGTAGAAATAACCCATTAATGCACTTTTCAAGGCAGGACTGCAATGCACTGTAACAAAAGCTTCCAGGGTGGTTCCTCCTTGGGTTTAAGGAACAGATCACAGAAGTGTCAGAGATGCAATGTACCACTTTAAGAAAACTGAAGAGACAGAACTTCCAAACTTTTTAAAACTAGGAAGGGGGACCAGGAGTCACTATTGAAGACTGAGAAGGAGAACACAGGGGAAGCAGAAAGAAGCTGGATCAAACAGACCAAATTCCCACTGGAGAGGAGGTGCTATTCTGCCATTCCCTAGCACAGCTTGGTAGATACTGTTTACAACAATGAACAATGCAGAGGAAACTACCATGTCAACAAAGAAGAGCCTGCAGTAGTGACATTAACCGCAACGACACTTCAACCAGATATGATTTCTACCTGTACCTTCTTTCAACTTACACTTAACATAGCAATCAGGGCATACTGTCCCTGAGGATAACTTCTTTGCCTTGCTTAACTAAAATCCTTTCTTCCCTCAGCACAAGAGCCAAAGCTGATGCATGGTAGACCAGGCTCACGGTGGTCTTTTACTTCATCTCTGACCACTCCTCGACTTGCCTCACTAGCCTCTGAGCACTGAAATCACCTTCCTGTTCTAAACTATGAGATGCACTCCTTCCTCAGAACTAGAGGTGTACTGGTTTGCTACATGAATGAATGTACAAAGCAGAAAGTCCTGTGGGTAACAGCTCCTTTACTGACTTCCTGTCCAGCTCTCAGCAGTGTCTTTTCAGTGAGCTTATCTCTAGTCAATACACAATCTCCACTTTCACAATCTCCACCTTCACAATGAAATTTTGTTTCCTACCTCCTCTGAGTTATTGAGTTTCTCCTTACACTGTATAATTATGTTTGACCCTATTATCACATATATTATATTTATTTTTTAAAGATGTGAGTGTTCACAGAAGCGCCCCCCCCCCAAAAAAAAAAATCGGTAGATTCCCTCAGGCTGGAGTCTGGAGTTACAGGTGATTGTGAGACATTTAGCATAGATGCTGGGGAATCAAACTCAGGTTCTCTGGAAGCTATCTCTCCAGTCCGGATTTTACTTACGATTTTTATTATCTCCCTCCCTTCTAGAATGCAGGCACAGTAGGCAACAGATTCCTTTATTTTCACTCAGTGTGATAGCCTTATGGTCTAGTACAATCTGTGGCATGTATGGCTTGTGGAATTAACATGTGAATGACATGAAATGTATTAAATGTTATGAAGTAAGAAGACAGAGACCTTACACATGGTTCACACACTCATGAGCACGAGATGTCAATGTGCAATATTTAATGAGAAATAATAAAATAAAGCTCACACACAATGAAATCTCACCTCAACCCTGCTCTAAGTTTCATGTCTATCTGTTCTCAAACATACACAACTACCTAAGAAAACAGGAGATTTTCTGTTTCCCTTTTTTAATTTAAGAACATTTCAAAAATTGAAATTACTAACTTTATAAAAATTATCCTGATACCTGTGAAGTTCTCAGCATCCTAACATGGTATAAAACCAGTAAATTCTCTTTCTTAAATAGGAAGATATATTGCCGGACATAAAGACATTGTCAATGAAGTTTACGCAAATAAGAGAGAGAAGACTCCCAGTGCTTTGGTTTGTTTCTTTACTCTCAAGATTCCACATGCTGTACTAGATTTGGCTTCAAACAGAACTGTATGACTTTCTCCTACCTCCTCTAACCCAATCCCATACAGAGTGACGCAACTCTATGATAAGACAGTAAAAAGTAAGGCTAACTTGAGTTTCTGGTTTGCTTGGTTTGATTGATTTAATTTCTTTGGAAACAGAATCTTGCCATGTTCCCCAAGCTGGCCTTGAAAATGGTAGTTACTTGCTCAGTACCTCCTGGGAAGTATGGATTTGGAATGGCTAAGTCTGAAAGTGGATTAGAGCTAGAGAAAATTACATAATAGTTTCACTTAAACGTTAAAGTAGTTATTGCCTTGCCCTAGTAATGACTGAATGATTACTATACAATGGAAAAAATAGTTTTAACTATACATGGATAATCCACAAGTTTAGAATTGCTATGCAAAAACATGCTGGCATTTTACTGCATACAATGAGATCCACAGCATGAATTTAAAATGTAGCTTTAAAGACCTCAGAGACTGCAGTAATGAATCTAAGTAATTCATAGATTTAATTACCTCAAAGTGAACTTGATACATGATCAATATCCAATCTCTTTCCATTTCTTAATTTAAAAAATATGTGGTTGGTCAAAGCTTTGTGCATTTATCAACTACAATGTGATATTCTCATTCATGACTATGTCAGGTATCAAATAACTTTTAGTAGGATATCCATCACTTGAAACTTTGCTCATTTCTTTATGGTGAGTACAGTAAAATTCTTCTACTTTGACATGTATAATGTACTACTATTAATTATACTCTACCTATTATACCATGAAAACCAGGACTTCCTGTTTCTAATACAGCCACTGTACCCCTGTACCTGTGGACTGACCTCTCCCACTTTTCCCAGCTTCTGTACTCAACTCTGGGCTTCCCCACAGCAAGTGTTTTCTACCTGAATTATTTCACATAACAACACTATCCCACTATATCCACAGTGTTAGCCATGGCAGGATTTCAAACGATTTTGTGGCTGAACAGTATGCCAAGGCGCATGTGCACCAGCACCTTCCCTGCATCTATCTACTGGACATTTAGGTGGATCTCACATCCTGGCCACTCTGAATAGTGTAGAGGAAACCATGGAAATGTCTTTTAAACATGCTCTTCATTTCAGGTAGTCATATGATCCAAGACACAGTGTTTCCAGATCATGTCACAGCTCTACTTTCTGGTTGTTGGGGACACCTCACACTGATCTCTATAATGGCTACACTAATTAACATTCCCCCAAAAATGTATGCTTCTTTTTCCATTTCCTCATAGCCTTTGCCCTTCAGTCTGTCTTCTGAAAAACAGACATGCTATCTCAGTGATCTGATATGATTAGAGGTGTCAAAGATCTTTCATAAATGTCTGTTACTATTTACATTTCTACTTCTAAGAAAAAACATACTGAAGGCATGCTGCTGTGAAAGGGGGAACTCATGGGATCACAGCCCTGGACAAGACACTACAGTCAATGGGTCATGGCTGAGAGGGAAACCAGCTCCTCCCTCCCGGGAATGAGCCCTATAAGAGGCTGTCCAGTACAAAGTGGCCAGCTCCCAAACCTCACACACATAAAAACCAAAAAGTCTTAGCAGGCTGTATTTATATGTTTATACATACACAAATGTGCATGTGTGTGTATGCGTGCGTGTGTGTGTGTGTGTGTGTAACAATAACAACAGGATAAAGAAGCTAGCAATAACAGAATAGGAACATGGAAGGAGGTGGAGGGAAAAAAGGGAAGTGGGGAAAGTCATGTAATTACATTCTTATTAAGTTTTTATAACAAAAAAAAAAAAAAGAAAATTGCTTTAAGAGGTCTACTCAGACCTTTCTTCTTTTTGAATTGGGTTACTTGGTTTTGTGCTAGTGAGGGACTTGATTTTTTATATATTGTGGATAATAATCCCTTTAGCTGTATGGTTTGCAAATGCTCTGATTCTGATAAGCTGCCTCTTTCTCCTGTTGATGGTTTCCTTTCTGTGCAGCTACTTTACTTTGCTGTAAACCAGGCAAACAGTTTTCTGTTGTCTATATTTGGGGACAAGACTTTCCTGTTGAGAATGTCATTTGCTATGTTCTGTAAGTTTTAGTGTGGTATATTCCCATTTTCATTTATCTTACATTTCTTATTGAATGCCTTCAGTGACCTGTTTCTTTAAAGAAATGTTTCATTTCCACGTGTCTAATGCTGCTTCCAGGTTTCTTCCTGTGTTTCTTCTAGCTTCACAGACATCAGAAAAGACTTTTTTTTTTAATTAAAAGACAGTTTCTTGTGACATATAATCTGTCCTGGAAAAAGTTCAGAGTGCAGTTGAGTGGAAAGCAAAGTCAATGGCTGCTGGATAAAACACTCTATAGATGTCTCAGCTCTACTGTGTCCAAGATGGTTAGCTCCGCTGTTCCTTTGTTAATTTTTCTGGTTAGATTATCTAGTCACTGATGAATGCTGAGTGTTAGACTTTGTTATTGTTACATTACATTCTATCTTTCCTTTATGATTTATTAGTACCTTTTTTATATAGTCAACTAACTACTAAATTTCACATATTAAATACCACTTTTGTGCTATTGATGGCTCATGTGTTTAGGTCTAACATAATACTTAGTAAGTATATTCTGAATAAATGAATAAATAAATAAATAAATAAATAAATAAATAAATAAACAAGAGAATAAACAATGCCATTATGGTGAAAATTTTCACCAAAGTTTTTTTTAAATATGTATCATTTTATCGTTAATTTATTATTGCCTGTTAATCTAAGTTTCATGGCTCAAGCAGTCAACCCTAAGTTCACACTGATATGTATACAAGTTTCTAAGTCACTAAAATCCTATAGGTTTTGCTATGGTTGAGGCTTAATCTTTACATAAGGTAACTAGTATTACCCTTGTGCCTTGACATAAACTAAAACTGTGGACAGGCATTTTTCAGAAGAGAGTCATTTCAAATAATAGATTGAGAAATAACAAATGCAGGCAAAATTCTTCCATTCGCCAAAACACTGCCACTATAAATTTCTCAGTTAGAAAATGTAAAAATGTCAAAATTACTATTCATCTATTTAGTGCTTAATAATGACAGTCTACCAGGGAGCGGTTTGGCAATGCTTAGGGCCTATCAGAAGGCTTAGTGGGTGAATGCACTTGCTGCAAAAGCCTGCAACCTGAGTTTCACTCCCCAGAACCCCAAGAGTTAGAAAGACAAAAGTGACTCCAGTGAGCTGTCATGTGACCTCCACGCATGTGTAAAGCAGCACCACCTCCTCCCCACACATCACAAACACACAGAATGATCATAAGTCATTAAAAGTAGTTTAACAATTTAAAACTTCCAAGAGTATTAACTTTAGAATATATAATGTGGATAACTGTTTATATTTATCATTTTCTGTTTACTGCTTAATAAAGTCAACAGATATTATAGAAAAATAGAAAAAACAGTAATAGCCAATCATAAAATAAATTCACCACTCTTGAAGTCTTTCCTTAATACTATTCAACAAAAAAGATCCCAGTTTGAAACTAGTCAAATAGGTATACATCTCATAATCTTAAGTTTTACTACACGAAGAAAAATACATGGTATTTACATTACTTTTGTTTTTAACTTTGTATTCAAATTCAACATTTTAGATATTTCCATTTAAATTTAATTTTATTGTCTTTTAAATATGGTATTTTCTCATTAAGATCAATATTTCAGTCAGTTTTAGAGCATTATATTTATGGAGTTACCAGAGAGTTAATGTTAAACTTATAGCATGGACAGCAGTTCTCATAAGCCATCCACCAGTATATTTCAAGCCTAGCACAATGGGCTACATCAATGTATAGGAATGAACTAGACTGGACACGTACATCAACAAATTGTATGATAAAGTGCCTCCTTTGTCCGTCAGAATATACAGAAAGGACATATTCACCAGGTTTCCCATGGCTCTCTCGAACCAGGAAGTCTCCTTGCTGCTTCAGGAGTTCTTGTGCCTCTATCCGGGGGATAGCGCCATGGTACCAGTCATGCTCCGCCAGGGGCTTCTCACCCATAGAGATCACATCGGAGAGCTGCTAAACAAATATGAACAAAAAAAGTTAGGGAAAAAAATTTTTTTCCAAATAAAATTCTTTGCAAGTACTTCATACATATGTTCTGCCTTCATTGGCCAATTAAAAATTAAATGATAAACCTGACATTTTCATAATTATTTTTAAAAAAATGTCCTGGGCCGGGCAGTGGTGGTGCATGCCTTTAATCCCAGCACTTGGGAGGCAGAGGCAGGTGGATTTCTGAGTTCCAGGACAGCCTGGGCTACAGAGAAACCCCCCAAAAAGAAAAAAAAAAGAAAAAAAAATGTCTCCTGGAGTACCAGGGCTGAAGTTTAGTGCAAGTAAATATCTATTTCTATCATGGGCAGGGACATTAGCACTTCAGGTTAACAGTTCTAATCTTATTCCTCTTATCATAAAATAAATTTATTTAATACTATTGACCAATCAGAAAAATGATGAAAGAGCATTTCAGAGAAATGTATAACAAACACAGTAGACATGTGTTTGTCATTGAATTGATTAACTCTGGAAGCACAGACTGTGCCCTGTGCAATGGCAGGAAGGGGTCTCAGGTTCAACCTGAAGCAGCCTCACTAACTTACACTCACTCCTCTGCCTTACCTCTGCTAAGCCATTGCTCTGCCACATGGCTGCTCTTGGTTTTGCAAAGCAATGGCAGTTAAAGCTCTGGGAGAAACAGCATCAAAGAAAATCAGCAGCATGCGAACACAACACATGCGGGGACAACTATAAGCCATGAACACAAAGCAAGTCATCTATGACTTTAGGGGAAGAGATGCATACCAAACGGCTGAAATAAGTGAGAGCTAGCTACATGGCCTTCAAACCCCTGAAACTAAAGGAAGGCGAAAGCACACATGCTATGACCACAAGTAAGCTTTCTTGTGCTCTACTCATCCACAGGAACTAAATAAACTAAATAGAAACACTGACATAAATTATTATGGGTCTCAGAATTGATGATCCTCATGGAAAAAAATTATAAGTTGGAAATAATCAAGATTAATAATAAAGTTATGGTTTATATCTAAAATGTCCTCCAAAAGCCCTGTGTTGAAGACTCTGTCTTCAGACCCTGGTGGCTAGAGTCAAGGTAAAGATGGTAGACCATCCGGTGGCACTGCCTTGGAAGGACTCCTGACTCCTTCACAGATGAGCAGAGCCGAGTATGTATTTTCACCAATGACTCAAAATAAGCTGTTCTTCCTCAGAAGCCATTTATCTCAGCACTCTGCCATGGTGCAGGAAAGCTGACCAACACAATAAATAAAAGGCAAACATATACATATAATAATTTATAGGTTGATATTATTAATCTTATGACAACTACGTAGTAAGTGAAAACTAATTTTAACAATAGCCTCCACTCATCTGTATCACTGAAGAGGTTTAAAATATTTTCATTCAAGTCCAACACACCATTAGCCAAAGTTCATCTTATTTGTGATAAAAAGAAAATGTTCCAAATAGGCCTCAAGTATATCACACGTTTTTGTGGTTATTCTTCCATTTATGACAGCTACATTTTTAAAATATGAACCTGATGTGGCAATTTTTCATTAGTATGCTGTTTTTTTTTCTCCTAGTGCTAACAATAATGAAAACAGTGACACATAACAAGCCAGCCACCATTAAGTAAAAAAACAGATGCTACATTTTAAAGGGGATGTGAAACCTGCCCAAAGCTCTTGCTGAACTGATACCAAGAGCTGGTAATTTTTAAAGAAGGTAATCAAAAACGTTGTATATTTCTTCCCCACATTCGTCACAATCTATCTAAATATAATAGTCAAGATTTTTATGCTACAGTAGAAAGCTATTTATAAGCCTCTCCTACAACAAAGTACCCAAAGATGAGTTCAAAAAACATCCTTCTCAAAGGGTCTTCCTGACAGGAAAGCGGCACAAAGCAAGGATGCCACAGTCTGATCCCGTGCCTCATTAGCCGACGACCCATCACAATGCCATTTACTCAGGGCAGGCAGAGTACGGAATGCTCAGTAAGTCTGAAAGGGGTTTCAAACATGAGGTTCAAATACTACCGAAGATGCTAGAGACAGATTTGAAGATAAACTATGTTTGGAAAGAAATTATCTTGAGAAAATATCTATCAGGTTTGTACTCTGTCTTTTGTGTTTAAGAAAATAAATATATTTTATTGATAAAATAAGCCCCGATATCAATGACAGCATGTTTTCACCAGTTGATTGTGATCACTTGTAACTTTATATCACACATTTCAACTAAGATTGTGAGGAGACCCTTAAAATCATCAGCACATAGCCATACTTCAGTATAGAATACAGGAGTCCAGCATGGTCTGTTTCTTATTTTAAATATTTGAAGAAATACATGAAAAGCAGATTTGGTCTCATACAATAAAAATTGTACAAAATTAACCTTAATAAGACTTTCTTGAAAAACTATGTATAAGAATATGATATAACACAAAAGATTTATAGTTCCTTGTTACCTTTTTTTTTTTTAACTTTAAAGCCTGAAAAGGGGGGCTGGAGAGATCGCTCACTGGTTAAGAGCACTGACTGTTCTTCCAGAAGTCCCAAGTTCAATTTCCAGCAACCACATGGTGGCTGACAACCATCTATCTATCTGGAATGAGATCTGATGCCATCTTCTTATGTGTTTGAAGAGAGTGACAGTGTACTCATATAATAAGTTAAATAAATAAATAAATAAATCTTTAAAACAACTGAAAAGTAGGTTAAAACCTTAATAATAGAAGACAAATGAAATTTAAAATGTATAATATTTAATTTTAACCTGTCTTGTTATAGAAACTGCAGGTTACTTTTCTGGATACAAAGATGAACACAGAAAACTACATGAGAATGACAACACCACTCCACCCTCCACCTTCCCACCCCCATCACCCACACTTCTGAAATTATAACTGATAACATCCCTACCCCTAACCCTGCTGATGGTGGAAGGCTCATATTATATCTCTAATACTGGAACTGATACACCTTTAAACACAGCTGTAATGTAGTTTGCCAGAAAAATACAAGCAAAACATATTTGCATTATGAGTCTACATAAAAAGACATACATACATACATACATACATACATACCAAATTCTAATTCAAAGATTCCTAAAATTAAAATAATTCCTATGTCAATACAGTGCAGAAAAAATAACTTTTAAAGAGATAGGGTTGACTAATTTAAAACTTTTAATCTTTATTTGAATTAAACAATAATAATTTGGATCAAGACTTGTATGAACCTGATTTTAAAGAATGTTTTTCAAAGAGTGCTATAATTAGAGGGACATTATACAGTCCACAACCAGTAATACAGTTCACAGGCAGCTGTAACATGGAACCAGGAGGTTGCTCAGCCAGGCATTGCAACAATTCCATATAAAATGAGCCTTGGAGAAAGGGCAATACTCTTGACATGGCTAGAGCAGGTCTCGATAACTTTAATATGGTTTGAAAGCTTTCCAACTCAAATGAACTATTAGGATTGCCAGGACGCTTTCAAGAGGTGCAGTTAATGCTGCCCGACACCTCTGCCACTGGCTTCAGAAGCAGGGTCTGGGAAACAGTTTCCAATGCAAAATGACAGCCTTGTGAAGATGGAAAGACACTAGATGTGGAGCTGGTCCCAGGCTCTGGGATACTAATGATGTGTTACCTGGCTCCCTTCATGCATGCTGAAAGAGCATGCATGTGCTTGGAGCTGATACAACGTTAAAACATGATCATAAGCCCAGTACATCTGATGTATCAGACACAGTTAAAATTAAAGCCTAGTTTGTCTATCAGCTAATTATCTCATGTCCTTCCTTCCATCAAGATCTAAACGTCCCACTAGACACTCTTTAAAGTGTCCACAATTCTACCACTGGTTACAAACATGCAGACCAATTGGTATGGCAATTAAAAATGCAATTACAATTCATTTCATTTTCTATATATATTTGCTTTACTTTATCTAAAATTAAGCATTAAAACTCCAATTTTAAATAAAGAAACAGCTATTCCTTACTGCTGAATTCTATGCTTCTAGATGGAGAAGACTGAATTTAGACCTGTACCCACATCAAGGCGCATACATAACTAAACTGTGAGTGTGAAGAGCACACAGGATGTGCATCAACTTGAGATGGGCACAGCTTTTTACACTAACATCAAATTCACAAGACTAATGGTGCACACTATTGGAATTAGAAGCTGTGGAAGAATAGCAAACTTACAGGCTAAGAGAAAACATTTGTACAGTACATCTATGATAAGGGACTTGTTTCCCCCAAAACACTTAAAATCTCACACAACTCAACAGCTAGGAAAACAAAGCTTATGGCTGAGGGTGCAGTTCACTGATAGAGTACTACCATGCATGAAAACCTAGGTTCAATCAGCAGACCCTCAAAAAAACCATATAAAAAGATTTTAAGAGTGCCAACATTATAAACAGGTTTATCTTTAAAGACTACATAGGTTGGCATACGCCATGCATAAGTAGCTGCAATGTGTAGGCAAGCTTCCTGGAGACGGTCATTTTTATGCAGATCAATATGAAGATGAACTTTCAAAAATACAATTTTTTGAAAAAATATAATATTGTTGAGATGAATTAATGATTTTACAGAATTATTGATTTGGTTTACATAGTTTTAGGAAGTTAGGGTAATTGATAGCAAGTTTCAGGAGATGGCTTAAGTTGGTTTGCCAGAAAGCTGTAATAAAGTTGGAATTAAGAGTGGTATGTGCCCCTCCTGATAGAACAGTGAGGGCTGCAGAGGTTGGTTAGAAAGGGAGCACAGTGATCGTGCATGCCTGACAAGCGTGCAATTGTACTAAAGAGAGAAGCTGGCTTGAGACAAGTTAATAATTACAGGAAATACTCTTTCCAGGTTGAGCCTGAGTTCTTCGATCTTGTGATCTAGGGGCGTGGCCATAGGTTTCAGGGTACACCATGAAAAGACAGAGTTATGAATAAAGAGCAAATAATTCTGAGAATAAGAATAGAGGATAGATGCTTAGCCAGCTTAGCTGAACAAGACTTCAAAAATAAAACATAAGATAGATCATGATCTGTTTCTTGGTAAATACAAATTGTTGTCAGCTAAGCATAGGGAAAATTTGGTACTAAAGACTGGCTTCCTTAATCAGCGACATAAGAATTATGGCTTTGGGGTTACAATCAACTTGTGGAGAGAAAGGTAGATGAAAAATGTTTAGTTGGGTATGAATTTCAAAAGATGTATACATAATCAATAATCCTGTTGTAATTTCCTTTTGTGTAATGGTTTTAATCTGTTTTTGATGAATATGTTATGTGGTGATTGTTTTTAGAGAACATGTTTCTTGTGGCTATGAGGTAACTTTTTCTTACATAGAGAACTCTGTCTTAGGTGATAGAAAGAAAGCTATAAGAAAAAATAAAGTTGTTAGAGCCTACTTGTTGAAGCTTTGCTTCACCCACCAAACGTGTGTGTGTGTGTGTGTGTGTGTGTGTGTGTGTGTGTGTGTGTGTGTAAAGTGGCTGGAGCTTGCCACTGGAGCTTTTCTCCATCCATCCACAAAAATGTATGCATGTGGATGTATCTAAAATGGTGGGAGCCTTGTTGCATCCACCCAACATGTGAATGTCTGTGTGTGCATGTATGTATGTATATATGATATATGCATGCATGCACATGTATGTATGAAGTTGTTGGAGCTTGCTTACTAGTGTGCATGAATGTGTGCCTGCTTTACACCATCACTGACCCCATATCCTCTCCATGGATTACTGAACACATTGTCGGAGTTAGGCTTCCACAGTAGGTAGCCAATTAGCACATGAAGGACACTTAACATTATTACTCATTAAAACTTCCAAATAAAAATGACAATGACAATGCACAGTGACTTCATGCTTGAATAAAACAATACAATAAAACAAAAGAAAGCCCAGGCTACATGCAGAGAAACTGTGTCTCAAAAACCAGAACACAAAAACTAGAATACGATAGATAGATAGACAGCGATGTGAGATAACAGTAGTACTCAGATTTATACTGTTGTTAGAGCACTCAGACATACACTGTTGTTAGAGCACTCAGACGTACACTGTTGTTAGAGCACTCAGACGTACACTGTTGTTAGAGCACTCAGACGTACACTGTTTGAAATATCAAGAAACGGGGTAAGTAGGGACTGAGCTATCTTCCAAGGGGTGTGGAGTACCCTTCTGGGGGACTAAACCATCAGAGCATCCTGTGGTAATTATTGTGGGAACAGGAAACGGGAAGTAGGGGGTAAATGGAGGCAGAGTCCATGATGATGCCTGCAGTTCAGACTCTGGAGACCAGCATCAAAGTGCAGATCTAGCTTTGTTGTTTGTTACACAAGCTTATATATAGCTTTTTAGCCAACTGGGGTATGTTTATGCACTCAAGGGCAAATCAAGGCACAATAGGTGTTTAACAGAATCTGGCTCGCCTGCCCATGCCTGTAGGGGAGGGTCCAATGCCCCATAGAGATTTCTGTGAAGGAGCTACCAGCCCAACCTCAGGTTCTTTGTGTTACCTCACAGGCAGGCCGGGAACAGTGGAGATCATACACTGTATATGACATCAGGACTCCTCAAGGAGTCACAGGAGCCTGTGCATCACTTCTCTGTCCCACTGCCTCCTCCACAGGTGAATGGCCACATCCCCACAGATGCACAACATAGCAAACACATGAAGCCTCTGATGAAAATGTGAGAACATGAATTCTGTGTCATGTGAAGTTTATCACAAGAAAACAAACTAATGTGGCTAGTATATAGGGCTTGTCTGTATAAGAAAAGATATCACCTAATCAAAAAATTTTAAGTTACGATAAAATTGTCTCTAAATGGCTATTCATTTGTAGATTCCCAGGCTTATCGTGTGCCACAATCACATTCACATTAAAACTCAAGCCCTCTGTCAGCTTGTGCTTGGAAGGCAGCAGGCAGCATTCAGCAGGAGAGAACAGCTCCAAGTGGTTGCTTGGGGTATTTCATGCTTGAACTACAGATGTTAAAATAGATCATTCATATTCTACTATGCTCCACCAGGAGAAGCCAAACTGAAATTTTAATGATTAATCTAGCAAAGAAATTACTTTCATTATCAAATGTCCTTTACAATGGAAATACAAGCTTACACATTTTAAGAACACAGATACAGTACTAGCTATTATAAAAGCATTATTTCCTAACTAACACTGTTTACACTAGGCCTCTAGTAAGGTTCCAAAGTCACAGAAAGCCCATTAGATACATGCCGCACAAGGTACCTGTAACCTGCTGCTTCCCTTACCATGTTTGCCACAGCAATTCCAGTGTCCACACACAGCATGGGCTCACATCATCTCACACCTTCAGCAGACCTTAGAATGGTAGATTATTTTGAAAAGTCCTTCACCCAGCCTTCATTAGTATGCTGTGAAAACTGTTCTACTTTATCAATACTTGACATAGCTAATATCCTACCATGCCTCGTAAATTGTATAACAATGGAATATGTATAGAGTGTGTGTGTATAATCGTTCAATACTACCTACAGTTTCCACCATCCAGCAGTGGCCGCAGAGTATCCATGGCCAATAAAGGAAGTCTACTGCAAACAAGCTATTTCTATCCTTCCTATTTTGCCCGGGGGTATACTACATTCATATGTAAACAGAGTCCTATGCATAAAAACAGTTGAATCCAACCCAAGTTTCCTATTTGTGAGCATAAACATATAACCGGAAACAGCAAGACCGTGGTCACTACGAGACAGCACATAGTTAATCCCACTTACTGATGAAGATCCGAGGACCGATTTTGGAGACTTAATTATCCCAGCAATTGAATGACGAATAGATTCAAATTTGGATAGTCTCTCCTTTCTCTCCTGGAAATAATAAGAATCAGCCATGAGTAACAGGAAACCATTGAGTGTTTACATTTTACTATCTAGGTATTTGTTCAAAGCTCAGTTTTCTAACTATGTCAAATATAAACTTCCTAACCTAACCAACACATGTAAATGTAAAGCATTTTACATTTAAAGAATGATCTGCTCTTCTGGTCCCTCAATATATCACTTTATTTGGGAAAAAATAAGGAAAGTCACATAGATGAAGGAACGTCAAAGAAGAGCAATTAATTATTAAATAATAGGTACATAAAGAAAGAGGCATCGCTCTAAGAAAGCAGCATAGGTATAGAGACTCTAAAGTAAACAAAAATAAAACACACTTGTGAGTTTTCCATAAGAAAACATTAGAGGGAAAAGAAAAGAACCATGTCAATCATCATGTAACATGTCAATCGTGTACCATGTCAATCGTGTACCATGTCAATCGTGTACCATGTCAATCACACTGTAAGGACATGACTATTGTAAGCCAAGTTACATTTCCACAGGACTCACTTGGCAGTGACCACAGGGAAGGATGGGGCAGGTAAAACATCAAGGAAGGGAGGCAGAACTTGCTGAGAAGCCAGTCAGTCTGCACTTCTCTTTCCGTGTATATTTCTGAATATCACACACCACAACAGAGACAAACCTTCTGGCTTTTAAAACTTTCAGGTCTAATTTACTAGTGCAGATGAATGGAGTGAGTGTAGGCAACAAGACTCAGAAGGAGAAGGAGTAGAGACAGGCTGGGAAGAGTGCACGGATCTGTTTGGAAGAACTGGCAGGTAGCCCAGGAATGCTGCACGTCTCAGCCTCTGGCCAGCAGCAGACACAGAACAAGAGAGCAACATTGGCCATAGGGTACCATGAGGTCCACTCAGCAGGAGAGCTCAGTGCTGTCTTGCACTGCCCACTCACTCACTCACCAACCACCTGTCTCCAGAGTCCACTCTGCTGTCAACACTGCAGTTGCTGAACCTCGCTGCCCCTCTCTACTTGACTACCCTGCTGCTTTTACTTCTAAGAGCAGCAGGCCAACAGTTCTAAGCAGTCTATAAAGACATTAGTATTCATCATTTGGAACAACTTAAGAGAATCTAATAGAATAGGTAAGGTAATTTCTCCTTTTTCAGCACTACTGTGCTAACTAAAGATTTCATGTAAATCACTATTTGTACATCAATTTGATCATAAGACTGAGAAAAATAATATAAGCTTTGTTTAGAGTTACAAGTGAGGAGAAGCTGGCACTTTGAAGATACATATATTTTGTGTAATGTACTTCTAGGGAAACACATCATTCCCACTGTGCAAACAATGATCCCTTTAGGAATGTGAGGACCTGCTATATAGCTTCAACCCAAACATGAGATACAGATATTTCAAAAAAGGAAAAGGAAAAGGAAAATCCTGCTAGAAGGCTTGAGACAAAGAACACTGAAACACAAAAACATAGCAAGCACTGGAAAAGCATGTCTGTGCTCAGGGTATGTTTTGTTGTTTCCTAAGTCTGCAGCAGTAAAAGCTGAGAAACCATTGCCAGGACACAAGGCCGACTGCATGGGAGTCCAGCACGTGTGGCTATGTGCAGGATGGTGAAGAGCACGTGTACTTCACAGGCTGGGTTTCCACTCCCCAGGGAAACCTGAGCATTCTCCCCTTCCTTTCTGAAATGCCTGTCTGTTCTGAGCAGCTGGAGAGGTCACCTTGTGCAATAGCTGACTGAAAGATGCAATGGAAATGCTAATGTCACCTGTACAGCAATGACAGTGTCACGAAAAAAGCAGCAGGCATTTCTGCTGTGCCTGTATGCTGTTCTGGGCAGTGTTCTTCACGAGCACACTAGAGTGCTCTTCCAGAATGTGAGTACTAAAAACATGTAACTAAACTACATGAAGAAAGCAGAACCCAAAAGTATAATATTTCTTCAAATAAAGTTAAAAAAATTTCAGGGGAAAAGTTTAAGTATTGAAAACATTTTCTGTACATGAAATGACTGTATGTATTCGTATGTACTCATGCACGCACAACTTGCCCTAGTTTTGCTTTTGGCACCCCACCCTAGAAGAGGAAGCCTTTCATCAAAACTCTCAGCCATTCCCTCAGGGGGTTAATATAAGGATTATACCACAGGTTAGAATTATCTAACAAATAAAGCAGGTGTGAGAGGAAAATGACTTCAAAACCCAATTTCCTTTGAAGTCACAAAGTACAAGGATACAATCTGGAAAAGCAGGCTTTCTAAAGTTTAAAGGCATTATTAGATAGACTGATCTAAAACTATATCAACCATCTTATGGTTTATAGATGAGCAATCAAAATGTAAGTGGGATTTACACATTATTCTAGCCAGTGTCTGCTCACTCTGTGCTCAGATTTCCAGGAGTGAAACATCAAATTCATTTGCCAAGCTCCTGTCTATGTAATATCACCTTTAAATTATAGTTGACCAGTAACGTATCAGACTGTGCTGAATTTACTGGCAGGCTGATTTTTACAGACAAGAATTAAATGGCTATTTAAAAGAATCATTTCCAAAGGCACAGTGACGTATGCGTGTGCATGTGTGCACGTGTGTGCGTGTGTGTGCTCTCGTGTGTGTGTGTGTGTGTGTGTGTGTTAGGCTGCTGGTGTGAGGGCCAGAGCATTCACTTGTCCACCTCCCATGAGGACAAGATGGAGAGCTTGCTCCACAGAAGACAGGAGAGCGGATCACCTGACAAAGTGATAGCTCCTCCCAGTGGAGGAAAGCAGGGGAAGGCAGTACTATGAAAACACATCTCATGTCATAAAGATTCTGATGAGAAAAACAACCTTGATAGCCAGTTCCACGTGCAGAATTAGTTTCACATTTCATTTAAGAATAGGTTTTCATAGTGTGAAATTAAGTAGGTAAATGAGATTAGAGCTTGATGGCCCTGGGTCAGAGTCGCACACGCACACACGCACGCACACACGCATGCACACACACACACACGCACGCACACACACACACACGCACGCACACACACACACACGCACGCACGCACACACGCACACATGCACACATGCACGCACTTCACTGTTGACTTATATCAAAGAACTTAATTTTTAAAAGTAGCCATTTAAGTTAGGAGGCTACCTTTGAAATCAATCACCATAGATACAATGCCCCTGATTACATCCATAACTGTATGCACATACAAATATAACTAGACTCCTGCACGTTAATGTACCTGCTGTCATCCATTACTGATATATTTAACCTCTACAGGAAACAATTCCTAAATTACCTTAAGCGTCATCAAAACCTTCTATGTCTGACTCAAGGTATAACGGGAATGTCACTGGTGGCCTGGTGAAGCATGAGCAGAAGCAAAAAGGGCAAGAATTAGGATTTTGTGAAATCAAGAGCCCACACCAAATGGCTACGGTAGGAAAGACAAGGCTCTCCTGCTGAAGGGACGAAGACCGTCCATCCAGATGTCTGCCCAGGTGACAATGCTGTTCTCAGCCTCTCTCCCCAGCAGTGAGAGGGAAGGATCTAGACCAGAAAAATGTCTGCTAACAAGACTTCTCTCCTTGTCACTGTGATGCATCGATTCTGATAAAGCATGAACATTGTCCGCCACAGTCACTGCCACAGAGACTAGTCCTATTCTGTCCCCAGAGGCCCTCAGCACAGAACACAAGGAGAAGAAAAGTCAACTCTCAAAGTAGCTACGGGAAAACATTTTTGTTCATAATGAGATGTTAAAATAATAATCTAATATTACTTCCTACAGACTTCTGCAAACAAATCCAATCTCATTATATTCTTTAAAGAGGCAATTCTCAGTGGATCAAGTCAAAGCTGAACACCTGATGATTCAAGAAAAAGATGAAGAAGGCAGCTGTTCTAGAACGCCGTAGCTGTTCTAGGCATTCCTAGGGGCTTCTTGTTAAAGCAGCCGTGCCATTTGCAGGGATGCTGCTGAGAAGCCACTGCAGCACAGAAAGGGTTGCCTGAGAACGTTTGACATTGACGGTAACTTCATAAGAAAAGGAAATACTGTAGATATCAGAACATCCTTGTAAAAGGAATGCACTTACACATAACAGTTTCCTGCAGGTGAGGGTATTCCTAGGAAGAATGAAAAGTGCATGAGTTTCTGTTTCAGCCAGGGTTTAGAACTGGAGTATTAAAAGAGTTCTGGGATGCTTTGTTCTAACTAAAGGCACTGTAGCACTCAGGGCCTCGTCATTAAGTTAAGAGTGCTATGCTGGCCTCTGCTGCTTGCATATTAAGGATCTTCATTTAAAGCAACACAGCTCATGTCAAGTATCTTCATATCCCTCAAACAAAATTAAGGCACAAATACCTAAAGAAAAAGTCTGGTGTTTTAAAAAGACCTTACTGTAAAATAGTAATGCCCTGACACTGAGCGCTAAGCTGTAAAATGTTATAAATCATCTTTCTAACTTTCTTAATTCTATGCCATTTGTCTAAGTTGATGGCCCTGGGTAAGCACAGCTGCAAGAAGCTCCCTTCCTCCTTAACATCAGATACAGATCAAGCTCTGGTGTGTCTTCTCCAAATATGTAGCCCAAATCACTGATGATGATGATGATTCCTCAAGACTATTATATTTAGAACAAATGTGGACATATAGTATAGATAAAACGTAGAAAGCCATATGGCTTTCTCTCTCTCCATGTGCACAGTGACACAGCACTGGTGACTCAGAGTCACCAGATGGGATGAGGATTTGCTCTTGCTCTGGTAAGCTCAGTTTTCCCCATCACGGCATCACATAGGAATGTCACTGCCAGAAACTCCATCTGCACTTGGCCTACTCACTCCTCCCTCCCCCAAGACACTCTGGAGAAAGGACCCAGAAGTATGAGATGCATTTCAAGCCCTTTCCTGAGGAACAACACCCTGGTCCTACAACTAAGTGTACATTTGCTAAGTGTAAGTTTGTTTTTTAAATATAATTATTATGAACTAACTCATCTAGAGTCAGTGTAAC